CCGGGGGGGGGCCCCCGGGGGCCCCCCCCCGGGGCCCCCGGGGGGGCCCCCGCAGCGCACACTGCGGGGGGAAAGAAACAACTTCAAAGGCCTCGGAGCTGCGGGCCTCTTCTTCCTGCTGGAACATGCGCAGCGCCGACAGCAGCGAGCGGCAGCAAAGGGCCCCCAAGACCAGCAGCAGCAGCGGCAGCAGCAAACTTGCTGGGGACAAAGAGTTCAAAAGGACCCCCAGCAAAGTCCCGCTCAAGGCCATTGGGACCAGCAAGTTCAGCCACATCTGCACACACGCAGCACCAACGCATGCAAGTCACCAGCAGCAGCAGCAGCAGCAGCAAAAGGAGGAGCTGTAGCTGCAGCAGTGATAGCAGCAGCAAACGCACTAGCAGCAGCAGCAGCAACGGCTCAAGCAGCAGCGAAGGCAGCAGCAGCAACTGTGGCAGCAAAAGCAGCAGCAGCGAGGCCGTAGAAGTTGCTGCCGCAGCAGAAGCAGCAGAAGTAGCTGCAGCAGTAGCAGCAGCAGCAGCAGCAGCAGCAAAGCGGGCACAAGTGGACCCACCTCGTCTACTGCAGAAAGCCCCTCGCGGACTTCCCTCCTGCGGTGCATGTATGTCCCCGTGAATGCGGAGCAGCAAACCATCACCTGCAGCAGCAGCAGCAGCAGCAGCAGAAGCGGTTGCGGCTTCATTCCCTGGCCCGGCAGCAGCCCCAGCAGCAGCAGCAGCAACAGCTGCACCAGCAGCTGCAGCGCAACCCCGCAGCCACCCGCCCCCGTCGCAGCAGCATCAACAGCAACCGCAGCAGCAGCATCAACACCAGCAGCAGCAGCAGCAGCAGCAGCAGCAGCACCTTGCTCAAGGGAATTGCGTCTCTGACCCGCAGCTTCAGGGCCCCCAACAGAACAGCCAGAAACACAGCCCCCCCCCCAGTACCCCCTGTTGCTGCTAGGGCCCCCGTCAGCAGCAGCAGCAGCAAACTGCCCAGCAGCGCCCCAAACGAAGCTGGCAAAACTCCCCCACAGCCCAGGGCCCCCACTACTGCTTCCCAAAATGAACCGGGGGCCCCCCCGGGGGCCCCCCCAGGGGGCCCTGAGGGGGCCCCTCCAGGGGCGCCTGGGGGGGCCTCTGAGGGGGCCCCTGGGGGGGCCTCCTTAGGGGCCCCTCCGGGGCTTTCTCCAGGGGCCCCTTCAGGGGCCCCTCCAGAGGCCCCTCCAGGGGCCCCTTCGGGGGCCTCTTTAGGGGCCTCCTTGGGGGCCACTTCAGGGGCCCCCGCAGGTCCTGCTGCTGGGGCATCAGTGGGGGCCCCTTCTGGGATCTTTGGGGCTTCTGAAGAAGCAGCTGGGCTGCTGCTGCCAGGGGCCCCTGAAGGGGCCCCCATAGAATCAACTGCGAGGCTACTTGGGGGGCCCCCCGGCGAAGCCTCTTCAGGGGCCCCCAGCACCTCCGCAGGGGCCCCCATGGTGCCCCCTGTAGGGGCCCCCGTGGTGACCTCTGAGGGGGCCCCCGTAGGGGCCCCCATGGAGCCCCCTGCAGGAGCCCCTGTGGGGGCCCCTGTAGGGGCCCCTGTGGGAGCCCCCAGAGAGGCCCCTGTGGGGGTTTCTGGGGGCTCTTTTTCAGTCACCAGAACAGCTGGCAGGTGATCTTGAGAGGCCCCTGGGGGGCCCCCCAAGGGGGCCCCTGGTGAAGCCCGAGAAGCCATTGGAGGGGCCTCGGGGGGCCCCACGGGGGCCCCCTGAGGAGCGTCCAAAGAAGGGGGCCCCCCGGGGGCCCCTGCTGCGGGGGCCCGCGCAAGCCTCTGTGCGTTTGCTGGCTTGGCTGTGAGCGGAGCCCCAGAGGGTGCATTCTGTGGAGCTGCTGCTGCTGCTGCTGCTGCTGCTGCTGCAGCTGCAAGCCCTTGTTCCGGAGGCTGCTGTGGGCTTGAAGGCTGCAGCAGCGGCGGCGGCAGTGGCTGTTGCTGCGGCTGCTGCTGCTCCTGTGGCTGCAGCAGCTGCTGCTGGGCCTGCAGTTGCGGCTGTTGCTGCGGCGGCAGCCCCAGCGCATTCTGCTGCAGCGACTGCTGCTGCTGCTGCTGCTGCTGTCCCTGCCCAGCGCCCACCAACTGGCCTTCACTTAAGGGCTGCGAGGGGCCCCCAACCTCTAGGGGGGACCCCCCCTCTTGGGGGGCCCCCCTGGGGTCGCCTGCAGGCCATTTTGCTGCTGCACTTTGCTGCAGCGGCAGGGGGGGCCCTCTAAAAGCAGCAAGGGGCCCCCCGTCTCCTGAGGGCAGCCTCGAAGCAGCAGCAGCAGCACCAACTTCCGCTGTTAGGGGGCCCACAGGCCGAGGGGGGGGCCCCCCGGGGGCCCCACCCTCGCCGTAATGCCCCAGCAAGGGCTCTGAGGCCCCTGAGAGGGCTCTCAGCTCCTCAGGTGGGCCAGCAGGGGCATGTAAACCCTTAGTGGGGGCCCCTGGGGGCCCCCAGGGGCCCCCGAGGCCCGAGGGGGCTGGGGGCTGCTGGTGCACAGAAGACTGGGTCTTCAGGGGCCCCGGGGGCCCCCGGGGGGCCCCTGGGGCCCCTGGAATGACCGCAGGGCCCTCCTGCTGCGCTGCAACGCCCCAGCTGCTGGCTTTGCTGTGCAGCAGCAGCTCGGGGGGCCCCTGGGCAAGGCTGAGGGCCACCAGCAAAGCCAAAATGACCTTCAAGGGGCCCCTGCAGCAGCAGAAGAGGCCCCAGAAGGGTTTGGGGGTCATTTGCTGGGGGTGTGGGGTGTACGTACACCTGAACGCGTCCCGAAGGAACAGAAGAACAGGACCCGCCCTGCGAGCGGCATGGCCGATTAGGGAAGCCCCAAATGCAAGTTTGAGTCCTTTGGCTAAAGAAAACGCAGAAAATATAATTAAAAAACAAATAAATGGCGTTCTGGGAGTTTCGAGGACCTGCGCTGAGCACGGGCTGTACATACACCGCAGCGCCAGCTCCCCAGGCCGCAGCGCAGCGCAGCAGTTAGTTCTTATTTTGTTTTTATTTCTTCTTTTGCTGCAGCTTTAATGCAATTAAATTACTTTTTTGAAATATTTGTCTCAAATGGACTTCTAAATTGCATGCGTTTCCTCTAAAAGCCCCAAAGAGGCTCCCTCCGGCGCGTCTCTGGCCTTCTCCTGCAAGAGCGCTTCTTAGTTTTTTTCCCTTTATTACCTCAAAGGGTTTTTCTTTGTTACTTCCTAGAGTTTAGGGTTTGGGGCTGGAGACCGAGGCATAGGGCCTTATTTAGGGTTTAGGGTTTAGGGTTTAGGGTTTCCTGATGTTTTGGCTTTATTGGGGTTTGGGATTTACTCAGGATTTACGGTTTACTGCAAATTTAGGGTTTACTGCAATTCTAAGGTTTATTAAGGGTCTGTTTAGGGTTTCGGGTCTATTTAGGGTTTACGGTTACACAGAGTTTAGCCTGTACAGGACTTAGGGTTTATTTAGGGTTTACTTAGGGTTGAGGGTTTATCTAGGGTTTAGGGGCCCCCAGAAATTAGGCTTTACTAAGGGTTTAGGAAGACCCCACACTAGCCCAGCTGAGGTGTACGTACACCCGAGACCAGCAGCAGACGCTGCAAAGCCAGAGGGGCCCAGGGGCCCACAGGCAGGGCCCTGGGGCCCCCCTTTTGGAGTTTATTAAAATTAGAAAAACATCAAATGAACCCTTTCTGAAAAAATGGCTCCCAGCTGCTATTTAGTTGCACAGCCTGCTGCTTCTGGGGGGCCCCCTGGCAGCAGGGGCCCCCTTGGCTTTAGCGGGGTTTGGGGGCCCTTGTGGGTACTGGACTAAAATAAAATAAAGGGGTTGCTGGGGCCCCAGTGAGGGTTAGCCTTTTGTCTATAGTTAGGGTTTAGGGTTTGCGGCCGAGGCGTGATAAGGGTCTACTCACGGCTTAAAGGCGAGAAGGGTTTAGGGTTTAGGGTTTAGGGTTTAGGGCCGGGGGCTCGGGACAACGCCTGGCCTCTGCGCCCCAGGCCTGAGACTGCCTTGCGCCCTCTGGGCTTATACTGAGGCCCCAAAAGCCCCTCTTGGGGGCCCCGTAGGGGCCCCCTAGGGGCCCCCAAGGGGCCCGCCAGGGGCCCCACAGGGGAGCCCCCAGGGCCTCCTTGAGGGCCCCCTAGGGCTCCCTCAGGCTGCATTCGCTATGCATTCTACAGCAGGAGTTTGCTGCTGCGCTGCTGCTCTGAGGGCCCCACTTTCATTCCTGGGGGGGCCCCTGGGGGACCCCCTAAGAAGCCCCCGGGGGCCCTAAGGGGCCCCCCTGGAAGGCCCTCTAGGGTGTACTGAGGGGCCCTGGGGGCCCCTAGGGGGGCCCCAGCAAAGCCTTGTAGGGGGTACTGAAGGGTAGAAGGGGCCCCAGGGGGTCCCCCTGCAAAGCGTTCTAGAGGGTACTGAAGCCTAGAGGGGCCCCCAAGGGGGCCCCCTGGGAGGCCCTCAAAAGGGTACATGGGGGCCCCTCCCAGCTGCCGCTGGGGCCCCAAGGGAACCTCTGGAAAGCCACTAAGAAGGGGCTCTCCTGCATCTAAAAGGGTATAATCAAGGGCAGTGGAAGGGGGCCCCCTGGGTACAGGGGGCCCCACGGGGGGCCCCCTTGCTGGGCTAGCTGGGGCCTCCTGGCCCCCCATTTCCGCTGCCTCCTCTGCCGGCTGCAGCGCGGGGCCAGAGGGAGCCTCGGCAGCAGCAGCAGCAGGCGCAGCAGCAGCAGAAGCAGCAGCAGACGCAGCAGCAGCCTCTGCTGCTTCGAGTTCAAACTTGCGCTGCAGCTGCTGCAGCGAAAGAGCAGCAGAAGTCCCCCCCTTGTGGGGATCGGGCAACTCCCAGGCCCCCAAAATGGAGCCTTCGGGAGACAGCAGGAAGCCAGTGTCTGCAGCAAACAGCCACGCCAAACCCCTTCAGCAGCAGCAGCTAAAGCAGCAGCAGCAGCAGCAGCAGCTGTAGCAACAGCAGCAGCAGTGGTGACGCCAACAGCAGCAGTAACAGCACCAGCGGCAGCAGCAGCGCCAGCAACAACGCTAGCAACCGCAGCAACCGCAGCAACACCAACAGCAGCAGCAGCAGCAGCAGCAGCCTGTGCTGCTGTGCGCTGCAGACCTTGTTTGAGGACAAGGGTGTGGCCTCTGCTGAGAGACAGCAGCGTCTCTCTCGAAGTCAAACTGCGCGCTGCGTCTTCCACTCTAAAGAAGTGTTCTTCCCCGGGAGGCAGCTGCAGCAGCAGCGCAGCGCAGCAGCAAGCCCCAGCCACAGCTGCAGCAGCAGCAGCAGCAGCAGCAGCGGGAGGAGCGGGG